TCTGCATTTCCACTCGTTCTTTTATCTGGAAGCCCAAATGAAACAAGTCTGAGCATAAAAACTGAGTGATGTGTGAAAACGTAAATAAGGCATATGCATGTCATTATGACTTGTGCACCTTTTGCTCAAAAATTCTCATCAGTAGCTTACAACATGACTCACGTTCCAACCTTCAGGTCCTGTGGCTCTGAATTCTAAAGGATCTACTTCCTCACACTCACTTCTCTGACTGTTTCTACGAACATGTCTTGCATTCTCCTACAATTATTTGGGTTTCCCTAATTATTCTCAAACACTTTAAGGAATAAACCTACCTCAGAAACTGCTCAGCAAGTTTACTTTCAGATTCTTTTCCAGAGACGTGTATGTGACAGAAACACTCTCCTCTCCTCTTGCTCAGCTGTTAACTGTCTCAGGAAGGGCTTTCTTCTTCAAGCAATATAGGATTTCAGCCTCCCAATAACATTTAAGATCCTGTCAGTTATTTTTATTTTCCTTTACCATGTGTCATTCTTTAATATAGCCCGTATTTTATTTTATATTTTGTACATTGCCTCCCAGCTAGAATGCAAGCTCTAGGAAGATAGTGATTTAGGCCTCTTTGGTTTATTACTGTCCCAAGCTTTAACAATAGTGCATAGCACATAATAGCTACTCAATTAATATTTCCTAATCATTAATTTGTGCCACTGGTACCTGCATTTGAAAATATGAGACTAGAGTCCTTGTTTGTCATGTGGGTTTTTCTTCATGTACTGTGATATAATCTGGGTGACTTTTATTCCTTACTCACTCTGTTTTCTACAGGAGAAACACAGAAATGATATAAATAAAAGCATGTGGACTAGGAAACATTGTTTGGGTTTCTTCCATGGGCCACAGAATTTTTCACAAGCAAAAAGATGTTCCTTTTTCCCTATTGCTTTGTAGGTGGATTAAACATTGCGGTACACATAAAAAGTACTTAGCATTGTTCATAGCATAATTTGTACTGGAAACAGTGTCTGTTAGTTTTGTTGCTTTTTTCCTTTCATGGTAGAAGTTTGAAGAAAACTTCCTTTGAGCAGTGTTATAGGCTATGTCTTGATATCTCCCCCCAAGGCCTCATGTGCTCGTAGATGGGCTGTTGGGAGGTTTTGGGGTCACTGTGGTGGGATGCCCATCAGCAGATTAAACCACGAATAGCTGCTGTGATATTGGGGAGTGAAGTCTGGGAGGATGTGGGTCCATGGGGTGAGATCCCCAAGGGCCTGTCTTACTCCTTGCCCCACTGTTCTCTCTGCCATGCTCTGAGCCACTTCTCTCCTGCTGCTCTGCCACGCTGCCCTGCGATGGAGCCAACCAACTGTGGACTGAGACCTCTACAAATTGTGAGCCAAAACTAACCTTTCCTCCTTGAAATTGGGATAAGGGTATTTGGCCCCAGTTAGGTGAGAGGCAACTAAGACACGTACCATCTCTCTGTAATAGAGTCATTAAAAGCGCTGTAAGGTTTGGCCATGAAACAAAGGAAGTTGCTCTGTTAGCTTCTAATGTGATATTAGGTGACTATGACAATCTGGAATTCCTTTTACCTGCCAAAGTCTTGCCAACCTTTCCCTGGTTGGCACTGTTCTAAAGAAATGATACTGGTGATTTGCTCAGAAACACTCTAGTGTTTCTAGAGTTAGATATCTAACTCTAGATATCTATTAGTATTTCTAGAGTTGGATATCTTTGTAAAGATTTCTCCCAATAAAGTTTCTAATTCTCTTCTTTTAAGAGACTATTTTGGTTTGTATAATGTAGCTATTTCCCAATCACTCCATGACATCTAGGTTTTCTGTCTCCCTAGATAACTACAAGCCAGTTAATTATAGCCTGGGTGGTATGAAGCAGATGTTTTTAGAACATCTTTGAAATGGGGCTTGGGGAGTCCTCAGGATTCCATTTAAGGACTACAGCATGCCTGAGGCTTTCTCTAGCTGGAAGCTTGTTCTGCACTTGGACCAGCTCTGCAGAGGGCCAGAAGCTGGGGTGATGAGCAGGTTTCTGTGCATAAATATGTAGCATATATGTACATACATGTATAGATCAGGCCTTGGCTCCCACAGTATTCAGAGGTACAGAGAAAGGAAACCAGAGTACCTGTCCTACTTCAGTCCCTTGTATGACTCCTTTTTGGTTGGATTCCGAGGAACTGCAACTGTCTGTTTTTATCCTATGTGTATTGCTGACAATAGTCTCTTTTCTATTTCCCTAAATGACTTTCAAAATAATATTAACAAGATACTTTCATTTCTAATCTTCATAGCATAAATTTATGCAATCTATTTTAATTTAATCTATTTTATGTAGCATGAATGGATCATCCTACTCAGCTCCTTTAAAATCTAGAGCCCAACTAATTCTATAGAAAACTATGTTTCAAAATTGTCCCCCTGGTCCCTTTTTGGCACTGGGAGTCTTTGAGCTGAGCTATATCCACAACCTTTTAAAATTTGTCTTGCTCAGTTGCCCAGACTGGGCTCACAGCTGTGAGCATCCTGTCTCAGCTTCCCAGGATGTTGGGATTATAGGTGTCCACCACTGTGTCTCACTCATAGATGTTAGTTATAATCATCAACTAACAAAAGCAGCTGAAGGTTAAAAGACTACAAATAAGTAATAATTATGTAAAAAAGCTCAAAAATCTCTGGAAGTGTATATGTCAGCATACTGAACAGTGACCGTTAACAGCCCTTTGCTAATCTTCTCCTGCATCTTTATACTAGGCTTTATTTGATTTTCATTTCCTCTGCCCACACTCCTCTTCTCTCACTGGGATAAAAACAGTAGCAGGTTGGCAGCATTTGCAGGAACCTCCACTGAGATGGGATGAATTGTGGTGTGGCTTGAGCTTTGTTATTTTGAGCCACTTTTGTTCATTTTTCTGTTAAGTGTCAGGTTACAGGGCCAGTAGGGGGCATTAGATGTATTGGTGTCTCATTTGTAAAGTCTAGAACCATCCATTTACAAGTTGTGGGGGCTTCACAGTGTTAAGAACCATAGAGAACTTGATTAAATGATTGGAGTTCCCCTCTTGATAAACTAAGATGAAAAAAAGTACTTTCAAAATAGATTAACTTTAGTAGTCACTTCCCACCAGTGTTGAAAGAGAAGCATCTTGAGTGGGCTATTGTCTCTCTTAATGTGTTCTGGTAGCTTCTGGCCTTGTAGAGAGCAGAGCCCATGCGTCTCTTGTACCTTCTTTTAAGTATCTCCCTGCACAAGCTTGCTTCCCGCCATCACCTCTCCTATTCTCTTTCACATCTGTTTTGACGGAGATCTGAGGTGAATGTTAAACATTCTGAAAAAGACAAAAGAGAAAATTGTTGTTAACCCTTCCAACCACTTGAATTTCTCTCTATATTTTGATTGCTTTGTGGGGCAAATGGATGGAGGCATTTCATGACTGAAGAATACGACTTCATAAATTAGCTCCCCACTTTTGTCATGATATGAAACTATGTTTTAAGTCTGGTAAACAATGAGAGTGACTGGTTCTGCTTACTTGAGGAATACCCTCAGCAGTGACCACATGGTTTCGAGTCTTAACCAGTAGGCTGTGGTTTGGGAATCATGTTTGAAAGCTGAGGAGTCCATCTTCTGTTCTCAGTGTCAGATGAGCCACTCACATACAATGTGAGTAATAAACTGAATTACTCTGGAAGGTAAAGAACAGTAGTAAATTTTTTCCATCCTTCTAAAGGGATATAATGGTATGATAAATTATATTAAACATAATGGAAGAAAAGAAATCCTTTTTGCATGCTTAGAAAGGTAGATGTTACTCATTTTGGGGTTGCCTTGGACATGGTTGTTTGGCCAGTTAGTCTCTTGCATGTATATTTGGGTATGTATAAGTTAAAGACATAATTTCTGAACTTTTCACTATCAAAAAGCTGGCCAAATAGCTCAGCAGATTAAAGAAACTGCAAGCAGGTGCAGGGGCCAGGGGTTTGATCCCTGGGCCTGCTGTGCTGGCTCCACCCCTGGGCGCACTGAGAGGACAATTGAAACTAGGTGTGGTGGCATGCTCCTGTAATCCCAGCTCTTGGGAGGCAGTAAACAGGTGGATCGCTATGAGTCCCGTCTGGTAGTGAGACCCTGAACACCCTGTAGACCCTTCCTTAAAATACAGAATAAATAAATAAATAAATAAATAAACAAATAAATAAACTTTTCACTATCATTATCCTCTTAATCTGACTCTCCTCACTTCTACATTTCTAAAATATTTTTTACCTCACATTTGTATTTATGGTACTAAACATATTCTTCCCTAAAAATAATCACTGTCAGAATTCATAGTCTTAAGGTAACTTTTTTTAAATCTATAGTATTAAGGAAATTGTGTAGCATAAGCATCTGCCTTTCTGTGTTTTAGAGCTTCTAAACATCCAGACACAAGAGAATGAAAATTACTTGACAAAGCGTTGATAAATCTGCTTGAGATACAGGATCTCTAGGCAAGTCTACTTCTTAGAAAAACAGAGCATAATATTCATGTGTTTATTTTTAAGACTTTAGGCTGTTTTTCCAGAGAATAAAGAACATTCACTGCACAGCTATAATTTACAAAGATAAACATCATAATTTTAAGTGTGTCAAGAAGAACTATCTCTTCTAGTGATCTTTCGGCTTTTAATGTGTGTTGTAGAACATTCATGGTCACCAAATTCCTCATTTTTTATGTCGCCTGATTTGCCACTGGGGACATTAGAACAGCCTTGCTTTTCTTTAGAAAATTATTTCCTTCAGCAAATAAATTACTGTAAGTGTGTATTCTTGAGATTTATAACTGTGAATATATTGTGGAATTACTGGATTTTTAAACTTTTAAATAATACATTTGTCCTATTATGAATGCAATTATGAGTAAATTATGAGGCAAACTAGGATTGGAAATGTATGCAGGCACTGAGAAAATATAATTTCACACTGAAACATTAAGTGATAAATCGTATTTCTTTCTCCAGAAACTGGCTCCCCAATTACAGCATCATGTGTTGGATTAGGTAACTCTAAAGCTCCTCCACCAGGTCAAGCAGGAAAATCTGTTCCAGGATACAATGGTAAGAAGTGAGACTGATTTGAAATATATAACTGAAACAATGGAGAGTGAAATGCTAATACATTTGTCATTTGCTGTACATGCTGTATACTGTATTACAGAAAACATACTGGGTGCTTAATACATATTTAAATGAATGAATGTCTTGTACTAACAATGAATACAGTGCTCGCTTTGGCAGCACACATACTAACAATGAATGCATTATGTTTTAGTATCAAAAATAATATGGTTGCCTTCCGGGGACATTTTCTAAATGGCTATAGGAGCCAAGATAATATCATCCATAGGACATTTTAAGAAAATGTGCATGAAATTACTATGCATAGAACCTGTGCTAAGTGCTCAATACTTGCACCCGTCATTTCATTTAATGCTTAAGTATAATTAATTTAGAGATATTATCCTCATTTGGAGCTGAGTAACTTGATTCTGACAGATGAAAATCTTTCCTAGAATAGCACAACTGGTGAGGTCCTCAGGACAATGTTTGCTTCCTTTTTTTTATTACAAAAGCGTTAGTACTGGCACAATAGCTCAGCGGATGAAGCACCTGCTTAGGCAAGCACTGTGACCAAGGATCGAATCCAGGCACCACATGTAGTGCCAGCCCTGCCCCTGGGCTCTGAGATGGCCACCAAGACTGGATGTGGTGGCACACACCTGTAATCACAGTGCTGGGGAAGCTGAAAACAGGAGGATCACTACAACTCTAAGCTGTGTAGTGAGATCTGGTACCAAATACATTTAAAAAAGAAAAAAAATCATTAAATTCTTTCAAGAATAATGACCTTTGATCCTTGTTAACTAAAACTAAAAACAAAGAGAGTAAACATTCTGAAACAAACCATTTCATCGATGTTGGCTTTTATGTCGCAAACAACCTTTTAATATTTGTTTTAAAATTCATAGAAGCAATCACAAAAAATTAATTTTTCCAATAAGGGCCACAATTTTATGTGTATCCTCGGGCTGCTAAATACTAACATTGTGGAGCAGAACGTCAGCTCATCACCCACAAGGAGGAGGTTGGGACTCAGCTTTAGCTAGTGGTGCTTCCAACACTTCAGGAAAGGCCAGAGAACCAGCTGGATTCAAACCCATGCTCATTTTATAGTCAAGAAAAACGAGTCACAGAGCTTATCCAATTTACATAAAGCCACCAAGTTTAGTTTAATAAACTTATGAGAAAATGCCAGTTTCGGCAACAGAGTGATTCTTAACATGTTACCTATTTGCATATAAATTACAAAATTTAGAGTTTTATCTTTTCTCCTCTAATATAAAAATGTTGTATTTTTCTTCTTGAACCATGTGTACTTAAAAAATGTATAGATTATTTAGTTTAACCTTACAAATATATTTATAAAATGATACTTTGGGTCTTTTTAGGGAGGGCAATGAGTTATTTCTCTAGCCATGGATAGGTGAACCTAAAGTTACTGAAATCCTTTATTGGAATCATTCATTCATCCCCTTCTTTTTATTCAAGAAATTGCTTTTGTGTTGAGACGTTTCTAGGGGATTCTGATTGTGAGACGCATTAAATGCATTTCCCCATTAGCATTCCAGTTACATTGAAAAATAGTAAAAAATATTTATTTGTTTGTTTATTTACTTATTGATTTGCTACAAGGTCTCACTACACAGCATGGACTCATAGTGATCCTCCTGTCTTAGCCTCCCCAGTGCTGGGATCACAGGCATGTGCCACGATGCACACAAAAGCCAGGCACGTGCCACTGGGCTTCAGTAGCCAGCGTCGCGCGCCAGGGGGCAGGGCCTGTGTGGCATGTTGTACCAGGGATCAAACTCCAAAGGACTTGCCAGGCAGGCACTTAGCTAAACTACCCTCAGTTTCGTTTTTATGACCACTTTTAAGAAAGAGTTACGCTTTGATACTTCATGGAGCTTCAGTACAGACGTTTCCTGAGAGCTTGTTTGGAGGTTCTAGCAGGGGAGCGCAGCTACATGTACACCTTTGACAGAGAAACGGCCCTCCCCTATCAGGAGTGATCGTCCTCTTCGACCGAGTGCAATCTTTGGGAGGGACGCACATGGATCATTGAGGGAGAAAGAGGACACCCGCCTAGGCAGCCAGATGAGCCGAATCAACCCTGATGATCAATGGGGTGACAGATATCCCAGTAAGATTGCCCTCACACCCCAGAAGTTCCTTGTCCAATAGCCGCCTGTTGTAGACAGAACAAGTTAAGTGTTTGTAACTGAGGAACCAACACATTTATGGTTGATAATATTCATGTTTTATGGTTATTAAGATTGAAAACCAAAGTATACTATTTAATATTATTGTAAAAACGAGATGTTTTGGGGAAGCAAAAACAACTCTTTCTGTGTGAAAAGTATGGCATGTAATCTAATATTTCAAATTCGTCGGGTCTCTGTAAATTTGCCACTTCATGTACATCTCCCCCAAATAATTCTTAGGCCAACACGATAACAAGGGAATTGTTCCCACTCTATAGACAGAAAAAAGAGAGAAGTAATATAGATCATTTCCACAAGTACATTGTTATTTGGCTAATGTCCTGCGATTTGGAAAAAGAAAAGATAAAACAGGCATATCCTCCACCTTTAATAAACTCACAACCTAGTGAGACACAGGTACTTATAACTGCACTAATAAGTGTCCAAATTGTGTTTCAAACCCAAATGTTCCAGGGACACAAAGCAAGGGCACACCCACCCATGATGTCCTCTTCTAGCTGTTTACAATGGAATGACCTAGATGAGTGGAGTCATATAAAGAGTCTGTTAAAGACTAGATGATGATGATTTATATACAAGCCTGGTTTGCAGTATCAGTCACTAAATGTGGATGCAAGCTTTAATGTAAACACATTCAGGATTTTATTGAGACAGCAGATAAAACACTGGGATAATTTTGCGAAGAATAAATCAACCCAATTTAAGTCTCCTAAGAAGATTATTACACTTTAAGTCAAAATAGGGGATTTCATACCTTTAAATTATTCGTTTTTTACTGCACATAACGTTTTGATGTATTTTTAAACTATTTCCCTTAATTCTGAATAACTGAACAAGATCTTTGCAACTTTCTCTCCTGAACAAAAGGATGCAAATGAACTTAAGGGTAGATTATAAAGGTATTATCATGTATAAAATACAATGTATTCAAGAGTTTCAGAAGGAAAATGTTAAGACTGTATGATTATAGTCACATTTTTATTTGTGTTCTACTTTGTAGTTATGATTTTGGATGACAACATGCAAAAACTGAAGGCTCGAAGTTTAGGAAATATTGTGGTAAAGTAAGCAGAATTCTCAATACTATTTTTTTTAAAGGAGAAGCCTTATATTAAGTAGTGATCGAGTGATTACATCGATAGTCACAAGGAAGGAAGTTTCAGAATGAACTTTTGTGTTTGAGAATTGTGCCAATTCTGTTGTGATTTAAACATGGCAACACTATATAATACAGCAAACTTAGACACAACTTTTAGAAATCGTATCTTGCAATGTTTGAATAACCTTCCTGATTATATAAGTAATAAATACATGATAAAAGTAATTGACACATAAAATATAGACAGGTAAATTTTCTGTACTCTGACACTTCAAAACTGCAACATTGCCATCCTGAGCTACAAAATAATGTCCTCATCAATGTTGGACTGCGTATATGATGGTAGTACTATCCAAATGTGTTGGGACTGAAAAATTCCTACAGCCTAGGGACAGCGTCGTGCTCATAGGTCACTGTCACCTACATAATTCAAGCTCATTATGTGGAAAGTCTTATCAAACTATATAGCACTTACAACAATGTACGATGCACAATAATGACAGTAAACAATGGTTACTACTCTGTCTCTACTGTTGTAGCTTTTATCATTATTTTAGAGTACTTCTACTTATTTAAAAAGTGTACTGCAAGTCATATTGGGCTATACGCTGACAGTAGCCTCAGAGCTATCATGTTTATTACAACTATTGATTGACCCCAGAGGCTATGCCAAGTGGCTGACTTAAACACTCTAGATTTGGGTAAAAATATTTTATGATGCTCACAAATGAGCATCTATCCCATTATTAAGAGACATGCAAGTATATTGTGAACATTCTGACAAACATTTTGTGTTGTTGAATCAGTTAAACCCATTTGGGGCTATTATGGACTGCTTTTCCTTAATCCTGTCTCAGAGAAATTCTGCTTTTGAGATGCTAAGGGTCAAACCTAAGGGCTCACGCAACCTAGGCAAGTGTGCTACTAGTGAGCTAAGCATTTTGTAATGTTTTGTCTGTCCTTTAAAAATATTCACTTTCATTGTTGGTCTTTTCGTCCTTTTTGAACATGTATGACTACAAATTATACTGTATTCAATGTCCTTCTGGTTTTGTCTTTTATGGTTTTATGTTCTTTTTAAACAGTCACTATTTATTGAATATATTTCCAAATGGATAATTACTGGATCAAAATTATTTTATAGGTTTTTGATTTATCAAATATCATAATTTTTGTTAATATATTTCATCATTGTTTATTTTTAGGCAAAAAGTGACAAAAGTTGAAGATCTTTAAATTGATTAAAGCCACAATTTAAAATTGTTATGCTAGTAAAATCTGAAATGCAACTTGATTAAGTTCAGAACCAAACAAATATACAGATTGTTTTATCACTTCTGATTATTATTTTTTCACTTTTTATAATATGGTTTTAAGTAGCAAAATACAATGCTATAAAGAGAAACAATCATTTTTTAAAAATTAATCTTATGTATTTGGTACAGGGTCTCACTTTGTAGCTCCCACTCATAGTGATTTTCCTGTTTCAGCCTCCCTTGTGCTGGGATTACAGATATTTGCCACCACGCCAAGTTTCTATGACTGGCTAGTTGTGTTAGGGGAGGGACAGCATGACATATGGTACCGGGGATTGAACCTAGGTCCTTGTGCTTGCCTAGTCAGTCACTTATACAGCTGAGCTACCTCTTAACCCCATATGGGAAGTCTTGGAAAGGACTTGTTTTGTTTATTTCAATTAAATTTCAAAATAATTCTTGGTACTTGGCACTCTGAAATTGATATAAGACTGCCTTTCTTTAGTATTTTAAATGCTAGGAAGTTGGCAAGCAAAGAGTAGTAAAAATATATAGATATTTTAACTTTGGAAAAAGTTAATAAATGATAGTATGATCCTTTTGCCCATGGTCTTGTACTCAGCAAGCGTAGAAGCACAGTGTTACTTTTTTAAAAGTTTCAATTTTAATGCAACATACCCAAGAAGAGAGAAAAATTAAATATTGATGATATTGTTTCTATTCATGTTTCTCTGAATTGCAATCCATATTCACACAGAACAGGTTGAAAGACAACCTGTTACGAGGAACAAAACAGGAAGGGAGCGCTTGTAAAGAAAATAATAGAAAGATGATTGTGGGTGGACGTTTTAACTTGCCTAGCAAAGCACATGGATTTTGAAAACTTTTCAAAGCACTTAGAAACACACATTTTTATATAATCTAACCATGAATGAGTCATCTCTCACAGAGCAAGTCTTTTAAGGTCCCAGAGATGGCATTTGATGCCAGCACAATTTTAAACCCCTCATGGGATTGTGGTACTCCAAGTTTGGTTGGCTCTGTTCAACATCTATTCAGAGAAAATAAAAAAAAATCAGTATCCAATTTAAACTAACATAACTTATCCTTGTGGTCATTAGTGTTATTTTAAGCCCTTGAAAGTAACACAACCATTCCCTTTAAAGTGTTCTGTGTTTTATATGTTCAGGGCAGTCCCACAATATTCCTTTTCCTGTCTCTTGCTTTCCTTCACCACCCCCTTCTTCTTGAACATCTACCTACCCGGGAAACATCATAGCAGCAACTGGCATGTCGTGACAAGCAGCCCATATTCAGAATATCAGAATGACAGGCACTCCAAGCATGAAACTACTATTACAAATTACCATCTGCAGTAGAGTAGCTTAGTTCACAGGTGTCAGTATATATAGTTAGTCAGGGTGAGAATCTTTCCAATTAACTGCTAGATTAAAAAATCTTCTGAAGATTCTCAGGATCCAGACACTTTCATTCTTCCATATTATGCCTGAGCACTGAATTTTATTGTGTGGATCAAGGGTTCTGTGATTCCACTATAGATTATGAGGATAGAACATGCCAAGACATGTGGCAAAATTTGATTCCTTTGGGCCGGCCAGATAACTCAGCAGATTAAAGCACCCGCTTATGCAGATGCAGGGACTGGGGTTCCATCTCTGGAGTGCTGCACAAGCCCCGCCCTCAGTGTGCAGGGAGATTGAGACTAGGCGTGGTGGCTCATGGCTGTAATCCCAGTGCTTGGGAGGCTGAAAACAGGAGGATCACTCTGAGTCTGATCTGCGTAGTGAGACCCTGTAGATCCTATACTAAACACATTTAAAGAAAAAAAGAATTTGACTCCTTCTTTTGCCTAATAATGAAATTAGATGTTTGAAAATATTACATATTTTGATTTACTTTTTGGTACATCTTAGAACAAAACAATTTTATTTAATAAACAATGCCTCCTCTTAAAATTAAAACAAAGAGAAAATATCACATATATATGTACAAGGTAAGATAAAAATAATCAGAAAGAAAAAAAAAAAGATTTTTCTGGAAAGAGAAGCCCTGCCACGTTTTTTTTTTTTCCAAGACTCATTTGTATAGATAAAAGAAAGGACTCCCTTTTGAACCCCACATTGTGGGCAGCCATTCCATTATAATTCATCAGGCTGATGCCATCTGGATACCTCCAATGGCTGCCCGTGCTATCTGCAGGATACGTTCATATTAACATCTACTAGTAAAAATTCCTAATGTAAACC